ATTTCACTTAGCATAATGTCCTCAAGGTTCATTCATGTCAGAATTTCTTTCCTTTTTAAGGCTCTATGATATTCCATTGTATGAATATACTACTTTAGTTTATCCATTCATGTGTTGGTGGGTACTTGGGTGGCTTCCATGTTTTACCTACTGTGAATAATGCTGTTATGAAAATGGGCATGTAAATATCTTTTTGAGACCCTGCTTTCAGTTCTCTGGGTATATCGCCAGAAGTGAAATTACTGGATCATATGGTAATTCTGTTGTTAGTTTTTTGAGGAATCACCATAGTTTTCCACCCTAGTTGTACCATTTTATATTCCCATCAAGAGTGCATAGTGGTTCCAGTTTCTCCACATCCTCACCCACACTTGTTATTTTTTATTTTTTACTAGTAGCCTTTTTAATGGGTATAACCTGGTACTGAAAAAACAGTTGACTGTCAACTATGTGCGTTTCTAGAGATTTAAGTGAAATGATCAGGTGCTTTCTTGGGTAATTTTTATTGATTTAACATTATTACACACATTGTGTATTCATGCTTTTTTTTTTTGGAGATGAAGTCTCGTTCTGTCACCCAAACTGAAGTGCAGTGGTGTGGTCTCAGCTTGCTGTAACCTCCGCCTGTTGGATTCAAGAGATTTTCCTGCCTCAGCTTCCCTAGTAGCTGAGATTTCAGATGCCTGCCACCATGCCTGGCTGATTTTTGTATTTCTAGTAGAAGACGGGGTTTCACCCTGTTGGCCAGGCTGGTCTGGAACTCCTGAGCTCAAATGATGCGCCTGCCTCAACCTCCCAAAGTGCCAGGTTTACAGGCACGAGCCACTGCACCTGGCTGCCTTTTTTCAGTCATATTTTGTGAAATGAGTTTATTCAGTTGTTTTCATTTGCACCTTAAATATATATCTTTATCAGTTTTCAGAAAAGACTATAGCTACTCCATGTCATCTGCTAGTTTATTTGTTTTTGAGATGAAATCTTACTCTTGTGCCCCAGGCTGGAGTGCAACGGCTCACTGCAACCTCTGCTCCCAGGCTAAGTGATTCTCCTGCCTCAGCCTCCCAAGTAGCTGGAATTACAAGCGCCTGCCACCACGTCTGGCTAATTTTTGCATTTTTAGTAGAGAAGGGGTTTCACCATGTTGGTCAGGCTGGTCTTGAACTCCTGACCTCAGCTAATCTGCCTGCCTTGGCCTCCCAAAGTGCTGGGATTACAGGTGTGAGCCACTGTGCTCGGCCATCCGCTAGTTTTTTGAAGCATGTTATTTTCACTTCTTTTTAAATCTATCTTAAATCCATTAATCCAGCGTATCCATTTGCTATTTATTTCCACAATGTAACCATACTGCTTTATAAATTAATTTTAAAACATAAGTATATGCACAAAGTACAAAATTAAATTGTTGTGAAAGGGTTGCCAGTGGTTTTGACTAAGGCCTGCTCCCTCTCTCTCTAGTGTATAGCTAATGAGTTAAAGTACTATGAGATATCACTAAGTTTATCAGACACTGATCACATGCAAGCAAGCCTGATGCCAGGTGCTGGGAGATACCGAGGCAAGAAAACCAGTTCCTCTGTTCAAGAACCGTCTATTCTTTTAGGGGAGCCAGTAAACCAGCATTTACTAGTAGTATATCCATGAATTTAATAGAACGTTATCTCAGGGATGGGAATGGGCAGGTAGGCTAGTATACAAATGAACAAAGTAACATTTCTGTTGATTTCAGCATGCATGAACTAGATGAGGGGATGATGGGGAGGATAAGGGCATTCCAAGCAGGTAATGAATTTGACTATAGTAAACTATGTAGGATGAGGAAGAAGAAAGGCAAAGCCAGAGAAATAAGCTGAGACCTGATCCAACAAAGGGCTTTCCAGATCATAAAGACTTGAATTTATACTGCAGACATCAGAAGAAAGCCGTTAAGGGATTTTGTTTTTGTTTTTGTTTTTGTTTTTTTGAAATGAGGTCTCGCTCTCTTGACCAAGCCGGAGTGAAGTGGCACAATCTCAGCTCACTGCAACCTCCGCCTCCCAGGTTCAAGTGATTCTCCTGCCTCAGCCTCCTGAGTAGCTGGGATTGCAGATGTGTGCCAACACACCTGGCTAATTTTTGTATTTTTAGTAGAGACAGGGTTTCACCATGTTGGTCAGGCTGGTCTCGAACTCCTCACCTCCTAACCGCCTACTTTGGCCTCCAAAAGTGCTGGGATTACAGGTGTGAGCCACCGTGCCTGGTCGCCATTAAGGGATTTTAAACAGGAGGATGATACAATGAGACTTGTATTTTGGAACACACCCTCTGCAGCAAGGTGGAAGATGGAATAATGATCAGTTAGGAGCCTGTTGAAGTAATTGAGGTAAGTATTAAGGATTTGCCTTAGAGAGAGTAGTAGTACAGAAGAGAAAACAAATGAGAGACAGTAAGAGTAGAGTTAGCACTTCCATTTCTTGCAGTAAGGATAATGTAGAGTGATAACATGAATAACCCTGCTGCTGAGAAAAACAGTGCTGAAGAATGTATGTATTCAAAAAAATTTTTAAGTCCTAGTGTGGTGATTCACTCCTGTAATCCCTGCACTTTGGGAGGCCGAGGCGGGCGGATCACCTGATGGGCAGATCACCTGAGGTCAGGAGGTCAAGACCAGCCTGGCCAACATGGTGAAACCTTGTCTCTACTAAAAATACAAAAATTAGCCCAGTGTGGTGGCAGGCACCTGTAATCTCAGCCACTTGGGAGGCTGAGACAGGATTGTTACAGTCACATTTCCCATGTGGTCTTGAAAAACTTCCAAGTCAGAAATGTGTTTAAAGTGATCTCTGCTAGTGCCCGTGGGTGCCTTGAAAAGTCTGTCAAATCATATCCTCTTAGGATGAAATGTACCTTCAACCCAAGCTTCAGAATTCTGCAGATTAAAATGTCAAGGCACATGACATCACAGTAAAAAAAACACAAATCAGACAAAAACTGTGGCATAGTGAGCAAGATCCAGCAGAAACATGAGATAGTGACCTATAGAAACTGTAGAAATTTTATATTTTCCCTTAGTGATTCCAATAAGTTTGGTTAATATGGTTGAAGAAATGAAAGATTGAAATAGGAGTATGAATTAAGGATCTCCAAAACATGATCAAGCAGATGAGGAAGTAAACAAAAACAGAACTTCCAGTTATAAAAAATTAGCTGAAATCAAAAGCTCAGTGAGCAAGGGAAGAAACAGATTGGCACAGCTAAAGGGAAAATGTGTGAACTCGAAATAGCATTGAAGAGATTAGCCACAATGCACATAGAGAGCTAAAGAGACAATATGCATGTGAAAGAAAGGTTGAGACATAAAGGTTAGAGTGAAGAGTTGTAACGTACATCTAATTGGAGTTACAGAGGAAATAAGTGTGAATGAAGGGTGAGGCAGCGATCAAATAGAAATTGCTGCGACTTTTTCAGAATTGATAAAAGACAATCTTCAAGTGGTAAAAGTCCACTGAATCCCAGAGAGGATAAATAAAATCAGCCCTTACAAATCAGAGTGAAATTGCAGAAGGCTAAAGACAGAGGGTCTTAAAAGCAACTAGAAACAACAGATTGCTATAAAAACATTTTTCTGTAGTCTGGCAACTGATTTCCCAGCAGCAACAACAGAAGCCAGAGGACATTGGAATGCTGTCTTCAATATTCTGAGAGAAAATAGCTGTCAGCTTTGAAATGGAATACCCAGTAAAACTGTCAGGAATGACAGCGAAATAAAGACATTTTCAGGCAAAAACTTAAGAGCGTTTACCATCAAGAGAAGGAGATTCTAAGGGACGTAATTCAGATAGAAGAAAAATCATCCCAAATGGAAAGCTTGAGGTGCTTTTTCGTGGCCCTAAAATGTTCAATTTACATTCTATCATTAGACATTTTTGTTGTTTCCAACTTTTCAATATAAACTGAAGCTATGCTGGACATGTGTATGAACATGTTTATGCATATAGTATTTTATGTAGATTTTATTTTATTTTGACTAGAAGCCGAAATTACTGAGTCAAAAAAGGAATGAGTATTTTTGTTTCTGGAATACATGTTGTAAAATTGTTTTCTTAAAGGACCTTACCAATTTACATTTCATTTAGCAGAGTCCGTTAGCTTTACTTTATTTACAAATGAGTTAGTTTATAATAGGGACATTTTTAAATGATGAAGATTGACATTTCTTACCAGATTTTGACTTAGTTATGGCTTAGACAAAAAAATGTTCCTTCTCACTTGTTTGTCATTGGTATTAAAGATGCCTTTTTTTTTTTTTTTTTTTTTTTACAGAGTCTTGCTTTGTCGCCCAGGCTGGAGTGCAGGGGCATGACTTGGGTTCCTTGAAAGCTCTGCCTCTTGGGTTCAAGCGATTCCCCTACCTCAGCCTCCCGAGTAACTGGGATTACAGGTGCATACCACCATGCTTGGCACATTTTTGTTTTTAGTAGAGACAGGGCTTCACCATGTTAGTTGGGCTTGTCTCCAACTCCTGACCTCGTGATCCAGCCGCCTCGGCCTCCCAAGGTGTTGGGATTATAGGTGTGAGCCACTGTGCCCAGCCTGACGCTTTCTTTTTAACAGAAACAGAAATGCTAACTGAAATGTATTCTTTCTAACAAAGCATTTCTAACTTTCTAGAACATAGTCTTTCATTTTTCTTTATCTTTTTTCAGCTTATTCCCAAATATATACTTTGGCCATTTAAATAAATGGCCAAAAAAAAAAAACCAGAAGTGGCCAAAAAATGCTTTAATATTTAGTTTTTGTTTTATTATGAAGGATGATTACTCTTTAATGCTTCTACATTCTTTTCTAGCTCTGTGTATTTCACTTCAAGAATGTGTGCATTTTTTTTTCTAGCTCGGTGTATTTCACAAGAAATTCATTCTAAAAGGGAAAAATACTATTGATTTACTTGGGAATTCTAATACGAGCTGAAAAAAGAGGCTGTCTTTTTTTTTTTTTTTAACGTTTTTCCTGTCTTTTTACTGTTTCAGGTGCAAGTGAAAGTGTAGGAAAACATATGCTTGAAGCGTGCAACAATAATCTGGAAATGGCAGTCACTATGTTTTTGGATGGTGGAGGAATCGCTGAAGAGCCCAGTACCAGTTCAGCAAGTGTCTCTGCTGTCAGACCACACACAGAGTACGAATCTAATGTGTATTGTCAGGAGCTATCCATTGCCTACATTAAGTAGTTGCGTTTTTATCAAAGCTAGGTCAATTCTCTGGTTTTGAAATAAATGAAAGGCTGAAAGCCTCTGAAAAAGTATGAAGTGGAAATTTTTGTAGTAACATACGTTCGATTCTTTAGATACTGTCTTGCCTTATTGAATCCTCAAAGGAACCATGTAGGCTCTGTGAAGTCGGGGAGGTGGGGTTGGTGGGAGTGTGTGGTGCTGCTCTGCTGGGATTGGCCCGTGGCCAGCAGGGCCTGTGTGCCTCATGGCAGCAACAAATAAACAAACAGAAACCTTATTGGATGGCATTATCAACATTTTACCAATAAGGAAGCAGAGGCATAGCCATTTCCCCAAGCTACACAGCATTAAGTAGCAGTAAAGCTCAGATTTCCCAATTACAGATTTTTCTACATTCACAGAAATGTTTTGAGTTGCCATGAAAAATGTTTGAAACTAGGCTGGGCATGGTGGCTCACACCTATAATCCCGGCACTTTGGAAGGCCGAGGCAGGCTGATCATGAGGTCAGGAGTTCGAGACCAGTGTGACCAACATGGTGAAACCGTGTCTCTACTAAAAAAAATACAGAAATTAGCCAGGCATGGTGGCGGGTGCCTGTAATCCCAACTACTTGGGAGGCTGAGGCACAAGAATTGCTTCAGCCCAGGAGGAAGAGGTTGCAGTGACCAGAGATCATGCCGCTGCACTCCAGCCTGGGTGACAGAGCAAGACTCTGTCTCAAAAAATAAATAAATAAATAAATAAAAATAATATCGTGTAGAGTTTTTTCTGTTAATGTTGGCCATGTGTTTCACTCCCAATATAGCTCAGACTTTTAACAGAAATCAGTATGAGAACCTAATACTTAAAAAAAAAGTCCAGGCGTGGTAGCTCATGCCTGTAATTCTAGTACTTTGGGAGGCCAAGGCAGGAGGATGGCTTGAGCCCAAGAGTTTGAGACCAGCTTGGGCAATATAGCAAAAACCTGTCTCTACAAAAAATAGAAAAATTAGCCAGGTGTGGTGGTGCGCAGCTGTAGTCCCAGCTACTTGGGAGGCTGAGATGGGAGGATCACATGAGCCTGGGAGGTTGAGGTTGCAATGAGCCATGATTGTGCCACTGCACTCCAACCTGGTTGACACAGAGTGACCCCCGTCTCCAAAAAAAAAAAAAAGATTAAAAACAAAATGGCAAATATTCATAGTTGATTTGGGAGAGCATATTTATCCTCATTGTACAAAACATGTTTTCTCAATTGTGTTGAAAAATAGTTTTGGTAAATGAATATCTTTTCCTAATGAATTCCCCTATATATATTTTGGCTTAGATAGTTTGTATTGCTAGTTGATCAACATTCGATAATGGCTCCTAATTCCTAAAGTATGATTTTCTTTATTCACTTTTTTCTATTCCATCCTTCCATTCTTGGTAGCTGACAATCTTGGTACAGATACCCTCAGATAATGTGGTAATCAAGTCTTTTCATGTAAGGACAACTGTACTGCTTAATCCACCCCTCTGATGCATTTAGTCAGATTAAAGTTTGTTTATAGAACAATTCAGTTGTCTGAGATTGAGACAATTGTGTGTGTGTGTGTATATATATATATATGCTGTAAAACGAGGTATAACAATAATGGAAGGTTTTGTTTAGGTAGAAGTTTTCTTTCTTTCTTTTTTTTTTGTTTTTTGAGACAGAGTCTCTATCGCTAGGCTGGAGTGCAGTGTGGTGATCTCGGCTCACTGCAACTTCCACCTCCTAGGTTCCAGTGATTCTCCTGCCTCAGCCTCCTAAGTAGCTGGGACTACCGGCACACGCCACCATGCCTGGCTAATTTTTGTATTTTTAGTAGAGACGGGGTTGCACCATGTTGACCAGGATGGTCCCGATCTCCTGACCTCGTGATCTGCCTACCTCGGCCTCCCAAGGTGCTGGGTTTACAGGCATGAGCCACTGTGTGTGGCCAGTTTTCTTTTTTTTTTTTTTTCAGGCTGGAGTGCAGTGGTGCAATCTCGGCTCACTGCAAGCTCCGCTTCCCAGGTTCACACCGTTCTCCTGCCTCAGCCTCCGGAGTAGCTGGGACTACAGGCGCCACCACCACTCCCGGCTAATTTTTTGTATTTTTTTTTTTTAATAGAGACCAGGTTTCAGCATGTTAGCCAGGATGGTCTTGATCTCCTGACCTCGTGATCCACTGGCCTCGGCCTCCCAAAGTGCTGGGATTACAGGCGTGAGCCACCGCGCCCAGCCAATGGCCAGTTTCCTTTTTTTTTTTTTTTTTTTTTGGTTGAGACAGAGTCGCGCTTTGTCGCCCAGACTGGAGTGCAGTGGCTGGATCTCAGCTCACTGCAAGCTCCGCCTCCCAGGTTCTCGCCATTCTCCTGCCTCAGCCTCCCGAGTAGCTGGGATTACAGGCGCCGCCACCTCGCCTGGCTAGGTTTTTGTATTTTTTAGTAGAGACAGGGTTTCACCGTGTTAGCCAGGATGGTCTCGATCTCCTGACCTCATGATCCGCCCGTCCCGGCCTCCCAAAGTGCTGGGATTACAGGCTTGAGCCACCGCGCCCGGCCCAGTTTTCTTAAGATAATTAGCTCTTTTTTAAAAAACAGTCTTCTTCTGTCACTCAGGCTGGAATGTAGGGGTGTGATCTCTGCTCACTGCTCTTGATTCACTGCAACCTCTGCCTCCCGGGTTCAAGCAACCTGAGCTCCTCAAGTAGCTGGGACTATAGGCACATGCCACCACACTTGGCTGATTTTTGTATTTTTTGAAAGATGGGGTTTTGCCTTGTTGCCCAGGCTGGTCTTGAACTCCTGAGCTCAAGCAATCCACCTGCCTTGGCCTCTCAAAATGCTAGGATTGCAGGTGTGAGCCACCATGGCTGGCCGGCCTGTTTCCTTTTGATGAAAGGATTGACAGAGCTTCCTCTTATAGATGTATTGTCTGTTTCTTCAGATGATTGACATTTTGTGTGTGAGCACCAGGAAAGAGTACTTAACATAATTTTGAATTACCCTTTAGTCACGTGGTTTGTTGGGAATTTCTTTAACTGGTTGTTCTTTGATGACAGGATGTTATTGTTGAGAAATGAGTATTCCTACTTCATTTCATAAAGGATGTGTTGGAGTTCCAACGCTTAAATATCAAAAACAAGGTCTTTAGTTGTTACTGTTCAGAACACCTGAATGAAAACCATTAGGGCTAACATAAATTTATATGGAATTTACATGCTTATATAATACTTATTATAAGCAGGAAGATAATGAAAATTAGGAAGTTACTGTTTGCTGTGAACATTAATCAGCAAAGTTCAATACTTGAGTTACAACTATAAAACTATTTCTTTTTCTTTTTCTTTTTTTTAGAGATGGAGTCTTGCTATGTTGCCAAGGTTGGTCTCGAACTCCTGGGCTCAAGTGAGCCTCCCGCCTCCTCTCCCAAAGCACTGGGATTACAGGCATGAGCCACCGTGCCCAACCTAAAATAAAGTGTTCTTTAAAGGCACACACCATTTTTACAGTGTATCTGAATGAGTTTTTTGTTACTGGAAGACATGGATTATCAGTAAACTCTGTGAATGTAAACTTTGAAGAAAATAGGCTTTTAAAAGATGAGTAATTACTTTTTTTGTTCTGTATATTAGGATCTTTTTAGTAAATAGTCCAAGATCATACCTGTTAGCCTCTTTCATAATTAGCATGAAATTCACTGCCTTTTAAAGTTTATTTTAATATCTCCTTATGATTTAATTATTCTTTGATGTAGTAGTAATGTGATATTGCTTCTATTAAGCCTATATTTTTCTATTCATTTCTGCCTGATTTTTTGGGGGAAAATTTTTTTCTTTTTTTCTGACAGAATTTAAGGTAGAAAACTTGAGAGGGAAAGGGAAATTGTTTTTATTTCTAAACCATTTGAGCTATATATTCCAGGTACTCATTTCCACTTGAGCTTTATGTGGAAACCATCTAAAACTCACTTATCAGCTGGATGCAGTAGCTCACGCCTGTAATCCTAGCATTTTGGGAGGCTGAGGTGGGTGGACTGCCTGAGCTCAGGAGTTCAAGACCGGCCTGGCCAACATGGCGCAACTCTGTCACTACTAAAAATACGAAAAAAAATTAGCCAGGTGTGATGGTGCATGCCTGTAGTCCCAGCTACTAGGGAGGCCGAGGCACGAGATTTGCTTTAACTCGGGAGGTGGAGGTTGCAGTGAGTCAAGATCGTGTCAGTCCACTCCAGCCTGGGCGACAGAGTGAGACACTGTCTCCCCTGCCAAAAAAAAAAAACCAACAAAATAACTTAAATTTATCATTATTACTGTGCTTCTAAAAGTCACTAAGTTAATTTGAATATATTCACAGTAATTACAGAAAGCAAACAGGTAGCAGAAAATAGTTTTCATTTTTTATTTTCCCATTTTTTTTTAATAGAGAAGAAGTTCGTGCCCCAATTCCTCAAAAGCAGGAAATACTGGTGGAACCAGAACCATTATTTGGTGGTAAGTTCACTTTTTTCCCTTAGCTTTATTTGATTTTGTTCTTTAGGATTTTAATCAAACCATCAAAAGATGTGAAGGCTTCCTAGGAGACTGTTAGAAGTGTAGTGTCAATTCTTACCTTGTTTTTCTATAGTCCTGTCAAGAAAGTTGCACAGTTGACTCATAAAGAGTGAAGCAGATGTTTCAAATTGATATTTGTTGGAAAAGGCCAAAAGGAGGAACGTTAGCAAGAAGAATTGGTGCCTTGTAATGGGAATGCATAATGATAAAAAGTTCTGATTATTTTCCTTTTCTGGATACCTGCTTGACTGCCAAGTCCCTACTCTCTAGATAGGCCATACCTTCTCTCTCAATTTCTAGAAGTGCTAATCCTAATTTGAATGAAGGGCACCGTAACCCCTAATTCATGTGAAAAATTGGGGTATTAGTCTGGATAGAGAATGGTGATAGAGAATGGGACATTTAATCAGATTAATTTATAGTTAAATAAGCACGTATTTCCCTTTTGTAAACCAAAGAGTTTATGTGTTATTCATGAGTTTATATAGAAAAAATACAAGATGGAATTATAATCTGGTTGGTCAGACCAAGACAGAAAACTGTATATAGTATATATTGAGAATAATTATGCAGAGAAATACTTTGTGTTGAGGTGGCTCACACCTGTAATCCCAGCACTTTGGGAGGCTGAGGTGGGCAGATCACTCAAGGCCAGGAGTTCGAGACCAGTCTGGCCAACATGTCAAAATCCCATCTCTACTAAAAGTACAAAAATTAGGCATGGTAGCACATGCCTGTAATCCCAGCTACTTGGGAGACTGAGGCAATGAGAATCACTGAAACCGGAAGGCTGAGGTTGCAGTGAGCCGAGATCGTGCTACTGCACTGTAGTCTGGGCAGTAGAGTAAGACTCTGTCTCAAGTAAATAAATACAGTTGAGTACAAGAGACATGAGCTTTTTTCCCTCCAACTTTTTTTTAGGTTCGGGTACGTGTGCAGGTTTGTTACGTTTGTGGGTAAATGGCATGTTGCATGGGTTTGGTGTGCAGATCACCACCCGGGTAATGAGCGTAGTAGCCAATAGGTAGCTTTTCTGTTTTCTTTTCTTCCCCTCCCCTTTTCTTTTGTAGACACGGAGTCTTGCTATGTTGCTCAGGCTGGTCCCAAACTCCTGGGCTCAAGCAGTCCTCTGGCCTCAACCTCCCAAAGTGCTAGGATTACAGGAGCGAGCCACCATGCCTGGCTTATAGGTATTTTTTCCAATCCTCGCCCTCCATCCTCAAGTAGGCCCTGGTGTCTGTTCCCTTCTTTGTGTCCATGTACGCTCAGTGTTTAGCTCTCTCTTATGAGAACATGCGGTATTTGGCTTTCTGTTCCTGCGTTAATTTACGTAGGATGGTACATATGTAGCCTTCATGGGTAGACTAAGACAGAGGAGGAAATACACGTTGTAACAAAAGAATGAATAAAATTATATGTATGTCTTTTGATTTGATAAAGTACTTTAGTTGAGAGTTTTTATGAGATAAACGTTTTTAACTTGGCAGCTTTGGTGTTTATTATAGAAAGAAACAAAAGAATATACTGTCTAGATTCAGAAATAAAAGGCAAGAGGAAAGCTGTAAAGTCTAAGTACTGTAGTGTAATGAAGTGCTTTCTGGCTGTTCAATGCGGATAGTCATTGTGCTGTTGATATACCAGATTGCTCATAATTTTACAAGTATAAATGCTAGGAATAGATTTGGAGCAAAAGAGTAATGCCCTTGGAAGCTTTATCTTCTCTTTATTGCAAGGAATAATACAGGATCTTTGAGCAAGTGAAACTATAGGAAGTAAATTCTGTGCTATATTGCTTTTGAACAGAGGCAAAAGAATTCCATTTGAAAGTCCCACTTTACTCTTTTTTTTTTTCTTTTGTATTACAGAGATGGAGTCTCTGTTGCCCAGGCTGGAGTGCGGTGACGCAATCCTAGCTTACTGCAGTCTCAAACTCCTGGGCTCAAGAATTCCTCCCACCTCAGCCTTCTATAGGTGTGTGCCACCACGCCTGGCTAATTGTTTTGTTTTGTTTTGTTTTGTTTTGTTTTGTTTTGTTTGTGGAGACAGGGCATTGCTATGTTACCCTGGCTGCTATGGAACTGATCTGAAGCAATCCTGCCACCTTGGCCTTGGCCTACCAAAGTACTGGAGTTACGGGCGTGAGCCACCGCACCTGGCCACTTTCTTCCTTTTTTATCTCTGAATTGATGTACAGTAAGGAGGATGCTAAGAATGACTTTTTACAGTTAGGAAGTCATTCTTACCTTTTGTTATTAGATGTTATAACTTGAAATGGGTCTTTAGAAACTATTTTCTTAAGGCAGTATTGATTTAAATCACCATTCAGGTGTGGTCTCAGGTCCCTAATACCCTTTCAGGTTGGCTGTAACGTTAAAACAATTTACAATAATAGTACTAAGGGTTTGTTTGTTTGTTTGTTTTTGAGATGGGGTCTTGCTGTGTTGCCCCAGGCTAGAGTGCAGTGGTTGCTCACAGGCGTGATCCCACTAATGATCGGCACGGGAGTTTTGACCTCTGTTTCCAACCTGGGCTAGTTCACCCCTCCTTAGGCAACCTGGTGGTCCCCCTACTCCTTGGAGATAATTATATTGATGCTGAGCTTAGTGTAGACACTTGACTGGCATAGCACACTACAGGCCAGAACTCTTAGGCTCAGGTGATCTTATCTCAGCCTCCTGAGTAGCGGGGATTATAGGCATGCACCATGGTACTGGACATCAAATTATTTGCGTTGTGGTGACATTCAGACTGATAGTTCAGAAACAATGATGAGTCAGACTGTTGGCTTCTTGGTTGAATTCATGCAGTGGCTTCAGACTGTACCACTAGAGAGTGAATTCTTCACTGCTACATGAAGTTTACAAAAAAATTTAAAAGGCAGGGCCAGGTGCAGTGACTCATGCCTGTAATCCCAGTCCTTTGGGAGGCAACAGTTGAAAAGATCACTTGAAACCAGGAGTTGGAGAGTAGCCCAGACAACATAGGAAGATTCTTATCTCTAAAAAAATAAAAATAAATTTGTTAGATGTGGTGGCACGCGCCTGTAGTCCTAGTTGGGAGTCTGAGGTGGGAGGATCGCTTGAGCTTAGGAGTTCTAGGCTGCCGTGAACTATGCACTGCAGCCTGTGTGACAGAGTGAGACCCTGTCTCTAAAAGAGAAATAGGACAGATGCAGTGGCATACACCCGTAATCTCAACACTTTGGGAGGCTGAGGCGGGAGGATTGCTTGAGCCCAGGAGTTTGAGACCAGCCTGGGCAACATATTGAGACCCCAGCTCAAAAAAAAAAAAAAAAGTTAACTGATTTAAAAGCAGTTTTCTTTAATGATGTTCTTGATGAAGCAGTAAAAATGATTAATTTCATTAAATCTTGACCCTTGAGTACACAGTTTTAAAATATAGTTTGAAATAGAATGTATGCACAAAGCACTTTGGTATAATGAAGTACTATGATTACCTTAAGGAAAAGCACTTGTGTGATTGTTAGAGTAGGGAGCTTTTTTTCATGGAACATTCTTTTTACTTGAAAAATCACTGACAAACTATCAGTTTACACCTTGACAGTTGGCATTTTCTGAAAAATGTGAGCTTGTTACTTCAATACAACTGAGAGTGTTTGTTATCAGTGATTTTAAAAAAGAGGTTTGGCTGGATGTGGAGACTCACACCTGTAGTCCCAACACTTTGGGATTACTTTGGGAGGCCGAGGCGGGAGATTTCTTGAGCCTGGGAGTTCCAGACCAGCTTGTGCTACATAGGGAGACCCCCATCTCTACAAAAAAAATTAACAAAAAAATTAGCTGGGCGTGGTGGCACTGCCTGTAGTCCCAGCTATGCAGGAGGCCGAGGGGTGAGAAGATGGCTTGGGCCTTTGAGGTCAAGGCTGCAGTGAGCCATTATTGCACCACTGCACTCCAGCCTACTGGTGACAGAGAGACCTCGTCTCAAAAAAAAATGATAAAATACATTAAAAAAGAACTTTCAGGCAAAAAACAGGATTTTAGAAAAATTTTTGTACCTACCTTTGTGAGCTTGATACTTTCCCAATACTTGAAGGCTTTCTGATAAGATCAGTGGTGACATGAAACAGATCTTTTAACATGATTTTTAAAATACTGTATAATGAAACCATTAATATTTGAAATGTTTCCATTACTCAGTAAACAAGTATTTTTGAATAACCAGTGCATGATACTGCAGAGTTGTGCATAGGTAAAAGATCCATTCAGACTGTGAGATGAATTGTATTAGATATTTTTTGCTGAGTAAAAAATTGTTCCAAAATTAAACTGCCTGAAAAAAAACAAAAAACAAAACAATCTCAGTTTCTTTGGGTCAGTAATCTGGGTGTGGCCTTTGGTTAGGGTCTCCTACAAGGGTGTGGTCAACATGTCAGCTAGGCTACCAATCATCTCAAAGCCTGAATGGAGGAGGATCTCCTAAACTCATTCTTGTGTCTATTGCCTGGGGGCATCCATTTTACACAGAGCAAATGAGAGCCTGAGAGGGCAGCCCAAGATGGAAGCCATTCTCTTTTTGTAACGTAATCTGGAAGTGAAATCCTATCAGTCTGCTACATTCTGTTCAATCCTGCCTGTACTCAAGGTATTCACACACAGGGTACGAATACTGGGAGACAGGGAAAATTGGGGGCTGTCTTAGAGACTGCCTACCACATAGTACAGTGGGTTATAATGAAACAGTATGAAAAGCTCATTGATAAGATTTCAGATTCCACTTTGCAGCTGTCCTCTAAGAAACTACCATTGGTTAAGTATTGGTGTACTATTAAAGAAGAATATCCACAATCATCTAAGACTTTAAAACACTCCTCGCTGCTGGGTATGGTGGCACAGGCATGTAGTCTCAGCTACTCTGGAGGCTGAGGTGGGAGTATGGCTTGAGCCCCAGGAGTTCTTGGCTGTACGGCCCTATGTTGATTGGGTGTCTGCACTGAGTTCGGAATCAATATGGTGACCTGCTGGCAGTGGAGGACCACCAGATGACCTGAGAAAGAGGAAACGGAGCAGGTGCAGATCAGTAGTGGAATTGTGCCTTTGAATAGCCACTGCCCTTCAGCTTGGGCAACATAGTGAGACCCCCATCTTTTAAAACAAAAAGCCCACTCCTCCCTTTTACAACTGCATGTCTGCATGAGAGTACATTTTAATTTTCTTTCTGTACTTGAACTGAAAGAATAGCAGCAGATCTAAAGGAATGTAGAAGCAGATCTGAAGATCCAGATGTCTTCTCTGAAGCCAGATACGAACAGCTATGTGGATATGTAAAACAGTGCCACTCTTCTCACGACGTTTTTTCTCCAGCTGTCCCTCCCCTATGCTGACTTTGAAGCTCCTTCTGGATCTCTTTTAGCTCTTTATAGCTTAGTCTCTTTGACTTCAGTGACCAGTACTTCTATTATGTGGGCAGTAGAGTGAGGACAGAGGACTGATGTTTGCTTGTGGCAGATGGCTTGGAAGAGCCAGGAGACCACATTGAAAAGGCAGGTAACAGTAATAGGCCTAGGGCTAGAGGTGGTGTGGTCTGAGGAGAGGTTTTTGCTTACAAATAGGGTAAATGAATGGAAGACAAATGGGAAGAGGGATATTAGCCCAAGAAGTAAAAGAAATTGGGTAGAAGGATAGCAATAAGAGGAACTAGTGAGTATACCCAGATTGGTGCCTTATAGAGAAGGGGGAGGTTGGAAAGGTGATGTGAAATAATGGGGAATATTGACTAACCTACCTTTGGCAGTTTAAAGGTAGAAGAAAATTACCTTTTATGTGCTACCTTCCTAAAATAATATACTTTCTTAGGCAACTATTCTTATTCTAAGATATCCTTGGTTTCTTTCTTTCTTTCTTTTTTTTTTTTTTTTTTTTGAGACGGAGTCTTGCTCTGTGGCCCAGGCTGGAGTGCCGTGACGTGATCTTGGCTCACTGCAAGCTCTGCCTCCCAGCTCCGCCTCCCGGGTTCACACCATTCTCCTGTGTCAGCCTCCCCAGTACCTGGAACTACAGGCGCCGCCACCACGCCCAGCTAATTTTTTCTATTTTTTTAACCGTCTCAAACTCCCTACCTGGTGATCTGCCCGCCTCGGCCTCCCAAAGTGCTGGAATTACAGGCGTGAGCCACAGCGCCGCCGAGCCTCCAGCCAGTTTCTTAATTGTTAGAGTTAAAAGGTATCAGATATCCAGTTTTTTTTTAATTAATTTTTTTTTTTTTTTTTTTTTTTTTTTAAAGAGACAGGGCCTCAGTATGTTGCACAGACTGCACTCGAACTCCTTGGCTCAAGCGATCCTCTCACATCAGCCACCTGGGCAGCTGGGACTATAGGTGCATGTCTCTGCACCAGGGCCAGATAACTAGTTTTAGAGGCATTCTTTGGCAGGTTCTATTATTCCTGCTAGAAGCCATATACATTTAAAATAGGAGCTCTTGATCAAAAATAGTTCCAAGATTGAAAAGTGTGACATTTCTTGCTTTTTCTTGAATAGAAATGAAGAAAGGAGGGAGGGAGGAAGGTAGAGAGGGACACAGAATGCAATATTTAAATTAAAAATAAAATTCAGGCCGGGCTCGGTGGCTCACTCCTGTAATTCCAGCACTTTTAGTGCCGAGGCAGGTGGATCACTTGCGATCAGGAGTTGGAGACCAGTCTGGCCAACATGGTGATGAAACCCCCTCTCTACTGAAAATACAAAAATTAGCCTGGCGTGGTGGCACACACCTGTTGTCCCAGCTACTAGGGAGGCTGAGGCAGGAGAATCCCTTGAACCTGGGAGGAGAATCCCATGAATCTGAGCTGAGATCATGCCACTGCACTCCAGCCTGGGCAACGGAGTGAGACTCTGTCACAATAAATTAATTAATTAACTAATTAATTAATTCAGGCTAGGCGTGGTAGCTCATGCTTGTAATCCCAGCACTTTGGGAGGCTGAGGTGGGAGGATTCCTTGAGCCCAGGAGTTCCAAACAAGCCTGGGCAACATAGTGACATGCCTGTCTCTTAAAAAACAAAACAAAACAAAACTGAATGTAGTGCTGCACACTTGTGGTCCCATCTACTTGGGAGGCTAAGGTAGGAGGATGGCTTGAGCCTAGGAGGTTGGAGTCTGCAGTGAGCCATGATCACACCACTGCAATCCAGCCTGGGCAACACAGCGAGACACTGTCTCAAAAAGTAAAAAATAAAACATGACAGTGTATTACAAAAGCTCTTTTCCCAGAGATGATAATGTGATTGTTTAACATAAATACTGATACACATATACACAGGAATCATATGCATATGAATATGTTTTAAACAAAAATGAAGTTTTTAATATGTTCGGCATTTTTTTGTTGCTCTGTTTTGCCTTTTACTCGGTAGTGCTGGATGTGAATAATTATCCTGTGTAATCACAAACACGAGTTACTGGGAAATATGTTTTGACACGGGTTAGGGGATTCTGTAGTCTCTGTCTAATCTTGATACTAATCATTTCTCAACAGAGAATTATTCTGGTTACATGCTGGCCAGCCTTGTCATAAGCCAACTTAATAACTTACCCATATTGAGGGAATCATGAAAAGCCTTTATCGGACGCCTGTAGTCCCAGCTACTCGGGAGGCTGAGACAGGAGAATGGCGTAAACCTGGGAGGCGGAGCTTGCAGTGAGCTGAGATCCGGCCACTGCACTCCAGCCCGGGCGACAGAGAAAGACTCCGTCTCAAAAAAAAAAAAAAAAAAAAGAAAAGCCTTTATTTAAAGACTGGGTAATAGACACTCTACAGGGGTAGTAGAATACCTTAGGTGGATCTGTTTACTTTTCTGTCATTAAACCATTGTGTACCTGTGAAAAAAAGTTTCCAAAATTAAAAATGTTTTTTGTCTTGACGGTTCTGCGCATGTGTCCAGTCCCTAAGACACAGTCCTTCAGTCTTATGGTTTAGAGTGTCGAGTTACTGTATACAGCAGGGCAGTCGGAGATCGAAGGCTATAACCTGAACAACAGGGCAGTCGGATCCTGAAGGCTGTAACCTGAATTGGATATCTGCAGCGTGTGTGTGGCTTCATCTCTACGTGGCGGTGTCCTCAAAATCTTCTTTCTTTCTGACGTCACCACTTGGATATCAAGATAGTAAACTTTTTTGTTTTTGAGATGGAGTTTCACTGTTCTTGCCCAGGCTGGAGTACAGTGGCGTGATCTCGGCTCGCTGCAACCTCCGCCTCCCAGATTCAAGTGATTCTCCTGCCTCAGCCTCCCAAGTAGCTGGGATTACAGGTGCACGCCATAATACCCGGCTAGTTTTTTTGTATTTTTAGTAGAGACAGAGTTTCACCATGTTGGTTAGGCCGGTCTTGAACTCGACTTCAGGTGATGCACCCGCCTTGGCTTCCCAAAGTGCTAGGATTACAGGAGGCATGAGCTACAGTGCCTGGCCAGGATAGTAAAGTTTTTTTTTTTTTTGAGATGGAGTTTCGTTCTTGTTGCCCAGGCTGGAGTGCAGTGGCACAGTGTTGACTTACTGCAACCTCTGTCTCCCAGGTTCCAGTGATTCTCCTGCCTCAGCCTGGGATTACAGGCAGGCGCTGGGATTACAGGCATGTGCCACTACGCCTGGCTAATTTTTTGTATTTAGTAGAGGTGGGCTCACCATGTTGGTCAGGCTGGTCTCAAACTCCTGACCTTAGGTGATCTACCCGCCTTGGCCTCCCAAAGTACTGGGATTACAGGCATGAGCCCCCATGCCCAGCCGATAGTAAACTTTTTACACAAGTTTGATCAAGTCTCTTTTAACTGGGCCTGAATTTTTTAATTTGTAATACAAGGTGGCTGAATGGAAGATGTTCAGATTAATTATACATGAATGATTTGAAAGTTTTTAAACTTTTTTATTTTTTGAGGGAAGGCACCATTATGAATCTGAGTGTTTTAAAGCAAGAAATACTGCTCACTTCGGCAGCACATGTACTAAAATTGTACATGTACGAGACAGAGATTAGCATGATACAGAGATTAGCACGGCCCCTGCGCAAGGGTGACATGCAGTTCGTGAAGGGTTTCATATTTTTTATTTAAAAAAAATACTTTTAGATGAGGACATTTTTAGAATTAAGTTTCAAAATTAATTTTTAAATTTTTCAATTCTGTTTTTTCTCCCCTAAAGCTCCTAAAAGACGACGGCCTGCACGTTCAATTTTTGATGGTTTCCGGGATTTTCAGACTGAAACTAGTAGGTATCTATGGACCAGTTTATCATCTCCCTCTTCTCTTCCTATTAAAAAGAAAAAGATGATTGCTGTTAGGCCCAATTACTTTAAGTTTTCACCTTATTTAAAAAGTGAAATTATGGATCCAGGATGTGATTAACTCTCCCCTGAGCTGAACTGTTCCAAATTCTAACCTATTTGGTTATAGAAAAATAGTAAAGGAGATGGAGATAGTGTAGGAAATCTGGTAACTGGTAAACTTAATTCGTTTGTGAATAAATACTTAAAATGCTTACTATAATAAAATAAACTGATTTCCCTCAGGATCCTGATTTCTGTCAATGAAAGGAATATATAATGAAAATGGTTATTGTAAGAGATTGAAAAATAGGAGAAAAAGCCATACCACCCAGAGCAGCCTATTAATATTTTGGCTACAGTTGTTTGAAATATTTTTGTGTGTAAGTTAGAATGAGAATCTTGGTCTTACAGTTTTAGAGGATCTAGTATTGATTTAGCAATGGAATCCTAGAGAAAGGACAGTTATGTTAAGAGGATATATGAGAAACCCTTGGACCATGCTTGATTTTGTGGTTTATTTATAATGAGTTCATTGAGGCACAAATAGGTCTTGTAACTTTGGAGAGAATTAATGGGGAACCTGAACTGACTCAAGTCATCTGGGGAATCCTGTGTCCTCCCAGTGGAAGGTGACAACAGTGGTCATCATCTCTACTGTTAGAATCTTTTTATTATTATTTTTATTTATTTTTAAGATGGAGGCTCACTGTATCACCCAGGCTGGAGTGTAGTAGTGCAATCTCAGCTCACTGCAACCTTTACCTCCCAGGTTCAAACGATTGTCTGCCCTCAGTCTCCCGAGTAGCTGGGACTACAAGCTTGTGCCACCACGCCTGGCTAATTTTTGTATTTTTAGTAGAGACGAGGTTTCACCATGTTGCCCAGGCTGGTCTTGCACTCCTGACCTCAGGTGATCCACACGTCTCAGCCTCCCATAGTGTTGGGATTACAGGCGTTAGCCACCGTGGCTGGCCCAGAGTCTTTAAAGATTGAGAACATAGCTAAAAACAGCAGATGAGGCTGGGCACGGTGGCTCAAGCCTGTAATCCCAGCACTTTGGGAGGCCGAGACGGGCGGATCACGAGGTCAGGAGATCGAGACCATCCTGGCGAACACGGTGAAACCCCGTCTCTACTAAAAAAATACAAAAAACTAGCTGGGCGAGGTGGCGGGCGCCTGTAATCCCAGCTACTCGGGAGGCTGAGGCAGGAGAATGGCATGAACCCGAGAGGCGGAGCTTGCAGTGAGCTGAGATCGCGCCACTGCACTCCAGCCTGGGTGACAGAGCGAGACTCCATCTAAAAAAAAAAAAAAAACAGCAGATGAATTTACATTGCTTTCAGAACTAGATAAATGAGGACGAAAGTTTTCCTCTATGCTTTTTGTTTTGTTTTGTTTTTTTGAGATGGAGTCTCGCTCTGTTGCCCAGGCTGGAGTGAGTGGCGCGATCTCTGCTCACTGCAACCTCTGCCTCCAGGGTTCAGGCCATTCTCCTGCCTCAGCCTCCTGAGTAGCTGGGACTACAGGTGTGCTCCACCTTGCATGACTATTTTTTGTTTGTGTGTTTGTTTTTGTACTTTTAGTTGAGACGGGGTTTCACCATGTTAGCCAGGCTGATCTCAAACTCCTGACCTCAGGTGATCCGCCCACCCTGGCCACCCCTAGAATTATAGGCGTGAGCCACCGCACTCAGCCTCTCCCATGTTAATTAGTTTCTGAATATGTGAAGAAGTTACTTTGATGATGTGACTATTTTCAGTTAATTTTCTTTGTATCCTTGGAATAGGGAATTCCACCAAGTCTTAAGATTCCTCTTGTCTCCCTTTGCATTTTTTTTTTCGGAGTCAACATTAGATCTTTGTATTTGAGGTCAAGCCTGTTGACAGCAATTCCTTCAATTGACAGAAGTTTTTTTTTTTAATGTGATTCATGATTATTTTATGGCTAACTGAAACTTTTTCATCCTTCTGTGTTATAGTTCGGCAAGAACAAGAATTAAGAAATGGAGGAGCTATCGATAAGAAATTAACTACCCTTGCAGATCTATTCCGGCCACCCATTGATTTGATGCATAAAGGCAGCTTTGAAACAGTAAGTTGTTGGAGAGTCAGTGCCTTAACTAGGAACGCTTTTGCATTTTCAATGCCTTTTTAAAAAAATTACTGGTTTTAGAGGCAGGGTCTTGCTCTGTCATCCAGGCTGGACTGCAGTGACACAATCATAGCTCACTTTAGCCTTGAACTCTTGGACTCAAGGGATCCTCCCACCTCAGCCTCCCGAGTAGCTAGGGCTACAGGCATGTGCCACCACACTCAGCTAATTAAAAAAAAATATTTTTAGTAGAGACAGGGTCTCACTGTGTTGCCCATGCTGGTCTCGAATGCCTGGGTTCAAGCAATCCTCCCGCCTCGGCCTCCCAAAGTGTTTGGATTATAGGTGTGAGCCACTGCACCTGGCCTTCAGTGACATTTTTTATTTTTATAAGAGCAAAAAAACATGGTCAGTGTATAGGGAATTGGCATCATAATAAGTATATCTACATGATATGCCTAAAGGTTACATTGATTTATATTTCTACCAGCAATATATGAAATATATTTCTACCAGCAAGATATGAAATATGTTTCTACCAGCAGTATATGAGATTGTTTGATGAAATCCTTTTATTACCCTTGTATGGTGTCATTTTAGAATCTTTGCCGTTTTGATAGCTTTTTAAAATATCTCACTTGTTCGTATATCTTTGACTACTACTGAGAATAGTGTGTGTGGTTTGTTAGCCATTTGTAAATTGTTGATAGGTATCTTTTGCCTAAATATTTCTGTGTGGATCCTAGTGTGTTTGAAAAGAGTGTCTCTAATTGGAGAACACATTCACCCTCAGTTCTTCTTGGTTTTATCGTGACTAAACCCAAAGAAACACTTTCCAAAGTAAGTTTACTTGGTTGTCCGCTAACTTACAGACTTACTGAGGGCAGAGGGAAGATAATTTTTTTTAATAATCCTTGGAACCCGTTCTCGTGCATTAGGGGGAACACATTATATGTTAAATGAAGGAGTTCAGTAAAGATTTTAGATACTCTTCTGTTGTGGTGTTCACACAGCTTGCCTTTTCGTGTTGAATAGCATGTTAATGCTCTTTTGAGTTACAATAGCATTTCCATAGATGTAAATCACTTAAATTTCAGTTAAGTCTTTTTTTTTTTCTTTGAGATGGAGTCTCGCCGGAGTGCAGTGGCACGATCTCAGCTCACTGCAACTTCCGCCTCCCGGGTTCAAGTAATTCTCCTGCCTCAGCCTCCTGAGTAGCTGGGACTACAGGTGCTCGCCACCATGCCTGGCTGATTTTAGAGACAGGGTTTCACCGTATTGGCCAGGCTGGTCTTAAACTCCTGACCTCGTGATCCGCCCACCTCGGCCTCCCACAGTGTGGGATTACAGGCGTGAGCCACCGCACCTGGCCTTCAGTTAAGTCTTACCTGTTAGGATCATGTAGGCCACAGAATAACTGCAAAATGTATATCAAGCCCGACAGGTGGCACAGACTACTACTTGGGAGGCCGAGGTGGGAGGATCCGTTGAGTCCAGGAGTTCGAGGCTGTAGTGTGTGATGATCGTGCCTATGAAAAGCCACTGCACTCCAGCCTGGGCAACATAGTGAGACCCTATCTTTCCCTTTTCTTTCTCTTTTTTTTTTGAGACAGGTTCTCATTCTGTCACCTGGGATGGAGTGCAGTGGCAGAATCATGGCTCACTGCAGTCTCCAACTCATGGTCTCAATTGATCCCCTGGTCTTAACCTCCCAAATACGTAGGGCTACAGACACCCACCACCACACCTGGCCAATTTAAAAAGTATTTTGTGGAGAGGGGGGTCTTGTTGTGTTCCCCAGGCTGGTCTCAAATTCCTGGTGTCAAGTGATCCTTCTGCCTTGGTTCCCAAAGTGCTGGGATTACAGACATGAGCTGAGACCCCATTTCTTAAACAACCGATGTATATCAGCTGTACATTTGAACATGTTATGATTATATTTTTAAAAAATTTGTCCTTCGATATACTTCTACACTGTCATACATGAAGTGTTTAGGAGAAGGGATTTCATTGTTAGCTTGTGTGTTAGTTTGCTTGCATTGCCAGAAAGGAATCCCTGACACTGGGCAATTTATAAGGAAAAAGATATTGTTTTGACTGACGTTTCTACAGGCTCTATAGAAAACATGGTGCTGACATCTGCTTCTGGTGAGGCCTCAGGAAGCTTGCAGTCATGGCAGAAGGCAAAGGGGAAGCCGGTGTAACACATGGTACGAGGAGCAAGGGGTCAAGCCATTCACGAGGGGTCCGCCCCCATGACCCAGACACCACCTATGAGGCCCCACCCCTAACACTGGGGATTACATTTTAGTATGAGATTTGGAGGGGACAAATGTCCAAACTATATCAGCGTGCTCTCCAGTTTCAATTTTCTGAGTCAGAAAACCATGAAAGTGGTTTGGCTGCATGGAAAAGAAAACCCAAATGATGATAATTTGATGAAACAGTGATGGGTTTTTGTCAGTAATAAGCTTAGAGTTGAAGAAATTATTGGTGTTCGTTCATAATTTCAAAGATGTCAGGCTGGGCGCGGTGGCTCAAGCCTGTAATCCCAGCACTTTGGGAGGCCGAGACGGGCGGATCACGAGGTCAGGAGATCGAGACCATCCTGACAAGGGCTAACATGGTGAAACCCCGTCTCCACTAAAAAAATACAAAAAACTAGCCGGGCGAGGTGGCGGGCGCCTGTAGTCCCAGCTACTCGGGAGGCTGAGGCAGGAGAATGGCGTTAACCCGGGAGGCGGAGCTTGCAGTGAGCTGAGATCCGGCCACTGCACTCCAGCCTGGGCGACAGAGCGAGACTCTGTCTCAAAAAAAAAAAAAAAAAAAAAAGGATGTCAGGTTAGATGTCTCCTCAGTTTTCTTCATCTTTCCCTCATGGTCTCAACATGGCAGCTGCCTGTTCTTCCTAGTATTCTGGTGATAATACAGACATTGAGACAGAGAATAGCAGCAAGATGAAAGGCAGAAAAGGATCTTAGTTTGTTTTGGCATGTTTTCTGTTTTTATTAGCTTCTGAGTTGCTCTAGGACGTGATGCAGTAACTAAGCTTGATTTAATTTGGTCACTTTGGAGTGAAGAAGCAGTTACTCTTCTGCTTGCTCATTAAGGGAAAATAGGAATCTCTTTTGATGTTGTCTGCTGAATTGTAGGTTATATCACCTTTTTTGCCTTGTATTTCATGGCCTGTGTTTACCGCAGTCTTTTTTTTTTTTTCACTGATAATATTATGCTTAACCATCTGCAAGATTTTAAATGAAATAAACATTCCCTTCCAAAAGCAGGTATTTCATTATGGTTAATGACACATGTATTCGTTTTATAAAAATTAGGGAGATAACATGCAAAATTAAGTCATTGAAGTTTAGAAAGATAAATGTTAAAAATTAGAGGAATACTCTTTGGCTGACCAAGGAGGGCCCATAGGTTTGTTCTTCAATATTAGATGTGAATGTGAGCCACAGTTTTGCAGGTTTAGAAACTAGTGTAACTAGAGGTAGATCATGTTCAAGGATTCTTTCTGGCTCATGCTAACCAGATGAGAGAGAATGATTAATTCACTTGTTCACTCAATGCACATTTATTGAGTCCTTGTGTTGCAGGATCTAGTTTTAGGTGATGGAGAGTAAAGGTTTGACTGCATGTGAGAGAGACCGGGAAAAAAACAAACAGTAGCTTATTTATGTATTTATTTATTTAATTATACTTTAAGTTCTAGGGCATATGTGCACAACGTGCAAGTTTGATCCATAGGTATACATATGCCTTGTTGGTTTGCTGCCCCATCAACTCGTCATCTGTATTAGGTATTTCTCCTAATGCTATCCCTCTCCCAGCCCCCCAGCCCCCGACAGGCTCCAGTGTGTGATGTTCCCTGCCCTGTGTCCAAGTGATCTCATTGTTCAATACCCACCTATGAGTGAGATCATGGCAGTGTTTGGTTTTCTGTCCTTGCAATAGTTTCTCAGAATGATGGTTTCCAGCTTCATCCATGTCCCTGCAAAGGACATGAACTCATCCTTTTTTATGGCTGCATAGTATTCCATGGTGTATATGTGCCACA